CCGTCGGGAGCCGTCTTGCGGACCTTTCTGGGCCGACTTGGGGACCTCTTGAGGCGTTTCGGGGCCGTCTTGGAGGCCATCTTGGGCGTCTTGAAGGCCATCTTGGGCGTCTTGGAGGCCTCTTGGGCCGTCTTCGGGCCCTCTTGGGGCCGTCTTGGGGCGATCTTGGGGGCCTTTTGGGCGATCTTGGGGGCCTCTTGGGCCATCTTGGGCCGTCGGAAAGCCGAAAGGATGCAAATGCCAAAATCCTTCAACAACATATGGAAAATCAATGATTTTGGCCTCGTCGGGCCTTCCTGGAGGACCTCTTGGAGGCCTCGTGGGCCGTCTTGGAGGCCTCTTGCGGGCCTTTTGGACCGTCGTAGACCATCTTGAGGCCATCTTGGGCCGTCTTGGGTGCATCTTGGGGCCATATTAGCCATTTTTGAGACCATCTTGCCCGTCTTGGAGGCCATCCTGGGATATCTTCGCGGTCTTGGAGGCCATCATGGGCCATCTTGGGGCAGCAGAAGCATTGACAGATGGGTTTCCCAGGACCCCGGCGGGACGGGCCGAAGCCCCAGGGGGAGTTCTTTTGGAAAAAGAACCAAAACCAAAACCCGTATAATTTGGCACGCCAGGCACCCCTGCGATGCATCGACAGGGGGCGGCGGATCCGAGTGGCCTTCGGCCCATCCCGCCACCGTGCCTGGGTTGTGGGTCTGAGGCCTCTTGTATATGTGTTGGGGTGTCGTGGGGAGCCTTTCCGGGGCCTCTTGGAGGCGGTCTGGGCGCCTCTTGGAGGCCTCTTGGGGCCTCGTGGGGTATCTTTTGGGCATCTTGGAGGCCTCTTTCACGCGTCTTGGGCGCCTCCTGGGGCCTCTTGGGGCCTCCTAGGGGCTTCTCGGGGTTTCTCGGAGCGCTTCTTGGGCCATCTTTGAGCCCTCTCGGGCCGTCTTGGAGCCCTCTTGGAGGCGTCTTGGGCTGTCTTCGGGCGGTCTTGGAAGCTTCTTGAGCCATCTTGGAGCGTCGGAAAGCCGAAAACATGAGAACCCCAAATCAAAAATCTTGTTGTAACATCGACGATGTTGGCCTCTTGGGGCTCTCTCGGGAGCCCTCTCTTGGGGCCTCTTGTGGCCCTCTTGGGCCATCTGGGAACCTTCTTAAGGCGCCTTGGAGCACTCTTGGCGTCGGCAATGCGAATACGGTTTAATCTGCGAAAGTTCATGGCCTCGTGGAGAGTAACTTGCGAAGGTTTGTTGCCTCGGGGACGCAAGAATTGATCAATTTGCGAGGGTTTCTGGCCACGGGGACGCGAATGTTGCGTAACTTACAAGGTATTCTGGTTTAAGGGACGCGAATATTGCTTAACGTACGAGAGTCCGTTGCCTCGGGGACGCAAAAAAAATTGTAATTTGCCAGGGTTTGTGGCCTCGGGGACGCGAACATTGTATAATCTACGAGGGATTCTGGCATCGGGGGCGCGAGTCTCATGTATTTTCACATGTCCCACGCCCTCCCGGGAATTCAGGCAACCCGACTTGGGCGTTGTAAAATTGCTGGTTTGGGGTTTCCCCCCTCGCGCGGACTTCAACAATTTAAAGTAAGAAGCAGAAAGCAGGACTGTAACATTGGAGACTTGAACCTGGAACTGGCGCAGGGAGCAGCAACCTAGTCCTCCAGCCTGGTGGCCTCACAAGGGGGCCGGCGGATGACGGGAAGCGCCCCTGGCGTGGACCGTTTTATTTTCGGTGACGGATTGCACGGGGCACCCACGCTGGCGGATTGCTGAACAATGGCCGCGTCGTCCTCATCATCGCCTCTTCGTCGCCCTCGCCTTCCTTTTCTTCTTCTCCCCCGAGAAGCCCATTAGACTAAAGCGGCGCTTCCCGTTCTTGTCCGCTGGCGGATTTTTGAAAAATGGCCGGTTCTCTCGAGACGTCCTCCAAAAATCGGCCCAAGAGGGGACTCCGCATCGACGTCGTGTTCGAATCGCTCTTGGAGCATTTTCCAACGGCACAAGGGAGGCCCAAAAGACGCCCCGGAGAGCCCCAGGAACGCCCAAGAGCGCCCCAAGAAGACCCCAAGAGACCCCAAGAGCGCTCTAGGAGCCACCCAGACAGCTCACAAGAACCCCAAGACGGCCCAAGAAGGGCCAAGAAGGCCCCAAGAGACTCCCGGGAGCGTCCCTGGAGGCCCCCAGCGCCTACACGGCCTAAGAAAGCTCCCAGACAGCCCAAGAAGACCCCAGAAGCCCATAAGAGGACCCAAGGGGCCCCCAAGAAGCCCCCAACAGGCCCCAAGAGAACCCCGCACGGCGCCAGGAGCAACGTCTTTCTCCAATTGACTCGTACTGTCCTCTGTCGTCGTCGTCGTTGCCGTCGTCGTCATCATCGCCCTCCGCATTCCTCCTCGTACTCGCCCTCGTTTTCTTCGTCCTCGTCCTTGTGCTTCTCTTCCTCCTCGTTGTCCTCATGCTCCTCCTCGCTATCCTCACGTTCGCCACGTCGTCCTCGCCATCGATTCCTCGTTGTCCTCGCCTTCCTTTTCTTCTTCGCCCAATACGCCCGTTCTTGTCCGATCAGGTTTCTGAACAATGGCCACGTCGTCCTCATCATCGCCTCTTCGTCGCCCTCGCCTTCCTTCTCTTCTTCTCCCCCGAGAAGCCCATTAGACTAAAGCGGCGCTGTCCGTTCTTGTCCGATTAGGCTTTTTTTCCGAAGCCCGCCTGTTTTCTTCCAAAGTCCGCCTGTAGGGCGACATCCCCGTTATAAGCTTACGAGCGAGCCGCGGGCCGTCCTCCAGGGGGGAGGCCGGCTTTGAGAGAAACGGGTCCTAAGGTTTTCGCCGTGTTCGGGCCCCCGGCGTGGACCGCTTGTTGTTTGTAAAAATTGATTGTTGGCGACGGATTGCACCAGGCACCCACGATGGCGGATTTCTCAAAAACGGCCGTCCTCGCCTTCCTTCGCCCACTGCGCCCATTTCATTAGACTACCGCGGCGCTTCCCGCTCTTTTCCGATCAGGTTTTGAGGGAAACGGGTCCTGAGGTTTTCGCCGTGTTCGGGCCCTCGGGGCCCTCCGCGGGCCCCGGGGCTGTCCGAAAATGGCTCAGGATGAGGAGCTCGTTTTGGGTTCGGTCGAGCAAGTCCCCCTACGGGCGGATTTTGTATAAGAAGTAGAGGAGAGTCCAACAACATCAAAAAATCGTCAAAAAAAGACATGACAAATCGTCACCAGGTTATTGCTGTTGCCCTTCAGGACCCATTGCCCACATGCCAAGCCGTCGTCGACCGGCGGAAGCTTCGACACTCGCGCTGCCCCAGGCCCACGAGCCTGGAGGTCACTGCCTGAAGGACGTCCATCTGGGCCGCCCAGGTGGGGTCCGAGTGGACGGGGTCGGAGGATCGCGCCGCATCCATCGGCAAGGCGGGTCGACGTGGAGCACGGTTGTCTCCACGCTGGCGACGCCGCTGCATCGCCGATGTCGCCGATGCATCCGTATTGGCGATGCGGCCCGTTCCTCGGACCCCATCTACTCGGACCCGATCTGGGAGGCCTCTAGTCTAAGAGCTGCCCGTGAGCTTCCCACCGAAGCCTGGGGAGCGCTCCCCGGGAGTGGGGCGGCGGCGGCGGCGGCTGTCCTCCCGGAGCGTCCAGGAGGGGGGCCTGCTGACCAGGGAGGCGTTCGCAGGGCCAGGGCCAGGAGGTCTGCCCGGATGCCAGGGCCCCCCTCTCCTTCTTTCAACACGTCCCCTGGTCTCCCAGCAGCCGCGCACGTGCCTCGGGCCGTGAATTGCGACCCCCCCCTCTCCGACGTCCCCCTCTCCCCGACGCCCCCCGACGTTCTGTGTTTTTTCCGGCGTTTCCCGTAGATCCCAGGGGTCTTCTCGCTTCGGGATGTTCTCCAGCAGCTGCGCCTCGTCGAGGGCGTCCCGGGATGGGGGGGCCCAGACCGACGTCAGCGTCTTGGGCCAAAACACGACGGGCCCAAAGTTTCAAAGATGCAGGGATCGACCGTTTTGATTTTGATTTCGTTTGACAGCGAAGGCGGAACGAAGACAAAACGAGGGAACACGAAAGCAAAACAAGAACGAAGAACGCTGTTTTAGCCGAGCTCTGCAAAGACGCCATCTTTCCAGCCCGAGCCTTCTTATAGACTCCTGCCCTCGGGAGGGCCGCGTTCGGTTCCCCCGGGGGGGCGTCAGGCATGGACCAGGGGACGAAAATAGCCGGCGGCGGAGGCAGTCGGGTCATCTTCTTGGGGGCCGCGTGCGCCCAGACGTTCGAGGCTCGAGTTTTTGTGTTGTCTCCGACTCTCTCGGCGGTGCCCGGCGGCTTCCAGCAGCTGCGCCTCTGCCGAGGGCCTTCCAGGGGTTGCCAGGATCCTCCTTTTGATTTGGGGGCCGCGTGCGCCCAGAGGTTCGAGGCTCGAGGTTTCTCTTCCGACGCTCTCGTCGGTGCCCGGCGGCTTCTAGCAGCTGCGCCTTTGCCGAGGGCGTTCCAGGGGTGCCAGGATCGTCCCAATCGGCCGCAGCAGGAGTCTACGCCTCCCAGATGGGGTCCCAGCAGATGGGGTCGGCGGATCGTGCCGCATGGCCAATTCATCGCCGATGCGGCTCGATGTGGAGCCCGATTCGCTTCACGTCGACCTCGCCGATGAATCACCGACGTCGCCGATGGATCGGCGATGCGGCGCGATCCTCCGACCCCATCTGCTCGGACTCCATTAGAGAGGCCTCTAAGGAGGCCCGAGCTGTGGGCCGAAAAGCCAAACGTACAACGTCGTGGACAAATCATGACAGAGGTTGCTTGGCGTGAGACATCATGACGGAGTTTGTCTGTAGTTTTGGCTCTTGTGGGCCCTCCTTAGCGTTCGGAGCACGCCAGGAGCAGCGCTGTAGGCGCCGCAAGGGGCACATCGCCAATCCGAGAAATCCGCGTGGAACTCCATGCCAAGAGCCAGGTCCAGAGCAGAGGTCCAGCGCCAGAGCCGGGTGCAGAGCAGAGGTCCAGAGCAGAGGTCCAGAGCCGGGTGCAGAGCCAGGTCCAGAGCAGAGGTCCAGAGCCAGGGCCAGGGCCGGAGCCAGGTCCAGAGCAGAGGTCCAGGTCCAAGGCCAGAGCCTGCCGCCCAATCGCGAAACCCCGAAGAGGAGAGCGTTCCCAGCTTGCCCCCTCGGAGGACCCGAGCCTCTGCCCGGGGCCCCGCTCTTCGTCCTGGGCTGTTCTCTGACGGCCCTGGGGCCCCTGCGGGGTGGGGGGTCCCCAGCCCTGGTCCAGCAGAAATCCGCTCGGACCTGCGAGGGCTGCTGTGTGTGCCTCTTTCTTTTGCGGATCTCCCCTGCCTCTTCCTCCTCCTCCTCCTCCTCCTCCTCCTCCTCCTCCTCCTCAAAGGGGCTCTCCGCTCGAGGGGGACACCACCGCCTCCTGGAAATTAGGATCGAGGATGATCGAGGATCGGTGAGGTGCCGATGCCGATGCTCGTCGTGGAAGGTCCACCGCACTGGATTCTCCTTGAGGAAAACCGAGTTCAACTGCGCCGACATTCGCGCGTAAGCTGCTCGCGTAAGGTCGCGTGTGACCGCCCTCGTCTCCAATGTGGCGTGCCGCGCCGGCGGCCCGCGTAAGTTGCCGCACAAGGTCGATACATCATCTCGCGTGGGGCCCTTTCTTTTCGCCGCCCAGATGTCAGCAGAGCAGCGGTGTCGGTGTCGTTCTGGCTCCCCAGCTGGGCGCCGCAGCCGCCGCCTCGCCCAGACCCTGCGACCACCTGCGAACTCCACCCCTGTAGGTCCAATCGACGCTGAGGCATCAGACACCCCCAGAGGGGTCCATCTGGCTACAGACATCCTTCCCGAAGAGCGGGCTCTGCCTGGCGCCTTGCCGCCTGCTTGCGGCGAGCGAGGGGGGGAAATGAGAAGGAGAAGGCCTTCTCAGAAGGCGGCGGGGCTTCTCAGAACCCCTCGCGCCTTCCGAGGGGTTTGGGCGTCTCCAGAGAAGGCTCATAACACTTCTCAGAAGGCCGGGGGACTTCCGAACCTTCTGAGAAGGCGTTCTCCTTCTCGCTTCCCCCCTCGCTCGTCGCCGAATGAGGATCGCCAGGCCGCTTCCCTCCCAGGCCCTTTTGAGCACGCTCGCTCAAAACATCTGCACACGCAATGTGCCCGGGGCCCCTTCGGTTTCGCGGAGTGGCGTCAATCTCGGCGAGTCGGGATCTCGTGGTCGCGCGTTCCTCCTTCTCCTCCTCCTCCTCCTCCTCCTCCTCCTTCTCCTTTCCCTCTTCCCCCTCGAAGCAAAAACGGCACACACACACACACACACACACGCCGTGACGAGTGAGCACGACCGAGCGTCGTCAGCCTGCGCCAGGCCGAACGACCGCTCCGCTCCCTCCTTGGCAGGGCCAACGGCGAGCTGCTGGACGCGGAGGTGGGGAGGCACGCGGAGACGCGCAGGCGCGGGACCTCAGCGGGCCCAGCCACGAGTGGAGCCCCCGCACGGCTCAGGCAGGGCCGCTTGCGACCCGATCCGAGGTGATCCGATCCGCCGGCAGTGGCCGCGATTCCGGTGCCATTGGGCTCGGTGCACCGTCATCGGTCACGGCCGGCTGGAGGCCGGGCACGCTGGTCCGATCTTGATTCGAGTCGGGGCCGTTCGTTGGCGATCCGATCCGTGTCCGATCCGAATCGGCGGCTCGATCCAGCCCTTGCTTGCCAGGGAGGAGAAGAACCACCAAGGTTTGGAGAAAGGCCAGTCGAGATAACCGCGGCCATCCCAGGCTTGTTCCGTCCTCTCCGGGCCTCCCAGAGGCTTACTGTCGCCACGGCCGGATCCGTGTCCCGGACTGGAGGAAGAGGGGGTAAACGTTTTCAGCCGTCGCCATCCCTGCAGGAACGGTTGAATTGGTTAATTGTCTCTCCTCGAGTTGTTTTCTGTTCTCTCTCTCTCTCTCTTTCTCTCGCTCCTCTATCATTCCTCCTCCCCATCCTCGCCCTCATCCTCACCATCATCCGTTTTCCCCTTTACCTCCCTTCTTGCCCAAGGAGGTATGAGCTGCTTGAGAATCCTGATGGGCGAATTCTGCTGAAGACACTGTCAACAAACTGCTGAGTTGCTGAAAATGTTGTGAAACGTTGGGAGCTACTTCGCTGCACCGCGAACAAAGTGAGGTGCTCGGTTGCCGAACCCAGGGCATGCTACTAGATGGCCACCACGCGGGGGCTGGCCTATCATCTCCGCTATCGCTACGGCCGACACCGCAAGTACCCCGACCGCCAGTGTCATCGGAGGCCTATAGATTGGCACCAATACCAATATCGGCGACTGCCTCCGCATAACGAAAATGATTATGACCTCGGTGATGATGGTCGTATTCGGGCTTCTAGGTGGCCGAGATATTGCGACCAACGCCGAAGCGAGGATAATCTGACCCTGGTGGAGACCTCGCAGTGTTAGTGTCGGTGCCAATTTCTGGACCGCCCACACTAGCCTCATATCTAGGCGTCGCGCAAAGCAAGTGATGGCCAGCCAGATTTACCGAACAGCCTTCGGCCCATCCCGCCACCGTGCCTTGGTTGTGGGTCATAGGTCTCGAGGATGTTCGTTGGGATGTCGCGGGAGGCATCTCGGGTGCTTTTTGTTGGCCGGCTTCAGGCCTCTTGGGGGCCGTTTTGGGGCTTCTTGGGGCGCTTTGGGGGCATCTCGGGAGTCTCTTGGTCCTGGTGGGGCCTCTTTGAGGCTTGGAAGACTCGGATTCTCGGTTCGTGTTCCTCCTCTTGGGCCCCTCTTGGGGGCCCTATTGGGCCGTCTTGGGCGCCTCTGGGGCCGTCTTGGAGCCCTCTTTGGCCGTCTGGGGGCCTTTGGGCCGTCTTGGGGCGGTCTTGGGGGCCTCTTAGGCCGTCTTGGAGAGTCGGAAGCTCCGAAAAGTCGAGGACCTCCGAACACAAAAACACCGCTTAAGGACAATCAATTATGTTTGCATCCCTTGGCCCTCTTGGGAAGGCTCTTGGGGCGTCTCGATTGGGCCGTCTTGGGGCCACCTTGGGCATCTTGGACCGATCGTGCTGCGATTCGGGGCCTGCTTGGACCATCTGGGAGGCCTCTTGGGGCCCTCTTGGCCTGTCTCGGGGCTCTTGCATGCCCCAAGAAGTAAAGCGGGAAGAGGCTGGGAGACCCAGAGGGCTCGCGGGGAGCCCCAGGAAATTTGGCGATTCGGGGTCCGAGCCCCCGAAAGAATCATTGGGTGTGAGGGCACAGGCTTTAGGGAAGAGGCCAAGGACCCATGGACATTCTAACTCTTGCCTCGGGGCACGGTGGCGGACTTACACGTCTTCGGCATCATTCGACTCCGTTTCCCAGTCGGTAAAGCGTCGGGCTGCGCACAGACAGGCCAAACCCAGTGAGTCGCGGCTGGCCTCGACAGCCTCCCCGAGTAGTCGCAGCTAGCTTCAACAGGCCCCCCGAATAGCCCAGGGCGGTCTCAGCACCTCACCCTGGGGCGCGGAGCGCCGCCGGAGGCGGCGCCAGAGTGCTGAGAGTGCAGCAGTTCGGAACGAGGAGCCACCGCGAGGCAAGCGCGACGCCGGAGGGCACCACGCTTGCCCGTGGCCTCTCGGCGGCGCCTGCCCCCCGCTCGTCTTGCTCCGGCACCGCTGAGGCTGAAGAGGCTGCGGCAGAAGCAGCGCAGGCTGGTGCGGGCCGAGGACGACGAGACGGGCACCGCCCAGGAAGGGGCCCGCTCTTCTCAGGAGGAGCAGCAAACACACGGACACAAACCGTCGTCGACTCCGAGGGAAGTGCAGAAACCCTCGGAAGGGGAGGGGAAGACGAACATCCAGAGAAGATGGAACGTATGGGGAATCTGGACCCCTTCATCTTCGTAATTTCTGAAGCACGCGCGGATTTATCGGATCGGCGATGGGTCCAGCGCCGATCCAAGAAATCCGCGCGGACCTCCACAAAATTCTTGACGCTTCGCGTGACCCCACCAGCACGACCCGCTCTCTGGAATCGTCCTTGGAGCCGCAGATTTTTTTTTTTTTTTTTAAAAAAAAAAAAAAAAAAAAAAAAAAAAAAAAACAGTTCAGCGTCGGGCTCGCCCTCTGTGCCGCAGCGTAGTTCGCTCCTGCGCGCTTAGTGCCTCATTTAGTCCGCTGCTCGTTAGCCGCGCTTCGACTTGACGCCGAGCGATTTGTCGCTGCGGTCGCGATCAAAAAAGGAACCCCACCTGCCCCTTCCCGGTGGTCTCGCCCTTGGAATGGTTGCACTTCGGCCGCCTGGCACATTTGGCACCTTTTGCAGCTCTGCCTTCAGTCCAGGCGTCGCTCCTCGGCGTCCCTCGGCGGCAGTTCCGGCGGCCGTTAGTTCGCGCGCTTAGGTAATTATGTTTGGCTCGCAGCCCGGGTTGACTTCGGACGCCGCCTGCGCTTCCGCTTGTGGCCGCGACGGGAAAAAACACACCAGCCCATCCAGAAACGATGCCCGGAGGAATTGCCTCGATCAGGGAAGTGGGCAGCACACAGAGGAAGGGTCCCCCAGTGGAGGCTTCTTGGAGCGTCTTGGGGGCCTCTCGGCAGTCCCAGACGCCTCTTAGAGCGTTTTGGGTGCCTCGGGGAGTTTCTTGGGGCCTCTTGGGGTCTCTTGGGAGCCTCTTGGAGGCCTCTTGGGCGCCTCCTGGGGCCTCCTGGGGCCTCCTGGGCGCCTCTTGGGGCCCTCTTGAAGCGCTCTTGGGAGCCTTGGGGGCGCTCTTGGAGCCCATCTGGGAGCCATCTTGAGGCCTCGGATTCCCATCGGAAGCGAAACGGCGAGAAAGCCCGAAACACATATGTTCCTAAGGTTTTGGAAGGATGTTAGCCTCTTCGGGGCCCCCTGGGGGGGCATTTTGGCCACCGGGAGCCGTCGTGGAGCGGTCTTGGGGCCTCTTGGAACATTTTGGGAGCCATTTTGAGGTATCTTGGGATACCTTGAGCCATCTTGGAGGTCATTTTGAGCTCCCCCAGGCGCTCTTGGAGTCATCTTAAGCAGTGCGCCCCCCCCCCCCTGGAGGCCAACATGTGGCCAAAACCGTAATACAAAACAATGAGTTTGGCATTCTCGCCGAGGCCCCTGGGAGCGTCTTGGGTGCCTCTCTGGGGGGCCTCTTCCGGGTCTCTTTAGAGCCTCTTGGGGGCATCTTGGGGCCCTCTTGGGCGCCTCCTGGGGCCTCCTAGCCACCTCTTGGGGCACCCTTGGGGGCCTTGGGGGCGTTCGTGGGGCCACTTCGGAGGAGACCGATCAAAGAAGGGGGGGTCCTTAATTAGCGCCGCCCCCCCCAAGAGACCAAAATGGAGCAAAACCCTACTAAAACGAATGATTTAGGTTTCCTCGCCGAGGCCGCTTTGGACGCTCCGACCGCTCGCGAAACGCCCCGTCCATGTCCAGGGGAGGGGGTAGGGGGAGGGGTCAACACACCTTCTTCGCTCGCAGGCCGTTTAGCTCACTCCCACCCGCCCTCCCACCACAGAAGTGGCATCCGAGTCTCGGCATAGCCAGCCAGAGGTCGCCACTGGACGGACAGCCACTGGGAACCAAAGCGGGCACCAGGGGCGCGACGCTCGCCGCAGGCTCCACCTGCGGTTGCTGTGCCATCCTTGTCAAAAACGTGATGCCTCCCCCCGTCCGCATGGTTCAGATGCTGATGTGGGGGGCGTCAGCATTGTTCTGGGCCTGCGCGCGGCAGGCATCATCATGCGGGCACCACCGCCGTCCCTGTCAAAAACCATACAAAGTGATCGCGGGTGGCCAGTACACCTCCCACGACATTGTCGCAACGTGCACTTTGCATTGTTTTTGATAAGGACGGTGGTCCTGCACAGAGCGGCTTCACTAAGGGTGCCCCGCCATCCCTGTCAAAAAACAATACAGCGTGCTCACAGGGCGCCAGCGCACTGTCCAGATGTTCTGCAATGTGCACTTCGTACTGCGGGACGGTGGAGGGTGTTGGCAGGGTGGGCCCCGCAATGTGCCTTTTGTATTGTTTTTGACAGGGATGGTGGGGGGGGTGTTCGCATGGTTCCGGGTTGGCTGCCGGCCAGGTAGGGGAGGGGGTGTTTACTAATAGGGAACAGTGATACACCCCTCCCCGAACGGGAAGAAGAGGGTGAAAGAGGAAACGCCCTAAACCACCTATGCCCTAAAGGGCTGGTGGGATTACGGCAGGTTCGTGTCGTGCCGACCTTGGCGTTGGTTCCTGAACCCCCGGGGATCGTCCAACCTTGAAAGATCGGCCGTTTCCACAACGTCGGATCATTCAACATCGACCAAGTTTGGGTCGCTGGCGGCGTTCAACGTTGAACGCGGGCGGCGGGGTCGCCACCGGTCGACACGACGCGAGCTTATCGTATGCTGCTTGTTGCGGGGACGATACAATATCGCTGCTTTGTTGATGGGACAGATGCCCCAGCAGAGAGCGAGATTGGCCGAGGGAAGCGTCAGTGCGAAGCGCACTCTCTTGACCCCTCTCGGTTTTCAGGCCCTCGCCAGCCTAAGTTTGGTGTCGGAGCCTCCTCTTTCCTCTCCCCGCGCCCGCGCGCTCCTCCAGGGAATAACCCTCCCTCACCCCAACCTCCTTTTCCGGCCTCAGCTCTGGCCCCCTCCCCTCCAGTCTTTCTTCCTCTCCATACCTCTCCAGAAGCTGCTGGGGGTGCGGAAGCTTCCAGGAGATCAGCAGGACGAAGTGCAGGAGGAGGAGGAGGAGGATAATCAGAAGGGAGGTGTCGAAGAAGAAACATTGCACAAACATAATTAGTCGACAGTCCGCGCGGATTTCTTTTACCGCACTGGCAGCACCTCCGGCGCCGCCCCTGGCGCGGGTCCAGCGCAGATCCAAGAAATCCGCGCGGACCGTCGAAAGTTTATGCTTATGTCGCTTGTTTGTTCCACTATGGATGAGGGACAGAAGGAGCGGGCGGTGTGAAAGAACAGGAGGAGGTGAAGGGGACGCCGGCGGGATTGCGGCGCCAGAGGACGAGAGTGAAAACGACGGTAATTGGGGCGGTCGGCAAGGGCGGGCAAAACATGTGGGAGGATTGAGCATTGCATCAAAGGGGCCCGAAAGGGGCTCTAAACGGCACCTGAATTGCCAATGTGGGCCTAAACGGTGCACGAAAAGTGCACGTTTCGTTGATAGCCCCCCTTAACGGGCACCCGATCAACGACAAAGAAGAGGGCGAGACGAGACCATGAGCGACAACGACGACGGCAGAGCTCCCTTGCCGCGCCAGTCGAAAGCGTAGCTTCTAGACGCGCCAAGAGGTTCATACGCTGCATTCTCTCCCAGAAACTTTGCAACCAGACCGAAGTCTGTCTTGGTGCACTGGATCCGCCTATGGTCCTCCAAAGTACGACGTGGCAAAGCAACAGCCACCCCCCATATACATAATTATACATGTGTATATATACACATATATATATATATATATATATATATATGTATGTGTGTTGCTATATGGTAATATATCCGTAAGGGTTTCGCCCCCTGCAGCCAGCCCCCTCTCTGGGACAACGCAGCATGCAAGAGTTATGATGTGAGGCGTGGGCGCCGTCGTGAAGCAGCGTCGGCTCTTGAAGCGCTCTTGGGGTTCTTCTTGGGGTTCTCTTGGAAGCTTCTTGGGCCGTCTTCGGACGATCGTGGGCGCCTTGGAGCACTCTTGGGCCGTCGCGGAGGCCTCATGTACCGTCTTGGGGGCCTTCTGAAAGATTGTGGCTTCGAAAACGCGAATACTCCATCATATACAGGGGTTTATGACTTCGGGGACGCGAAGAACGCTTACTCTACAACGGATTTGTGCCACTAACGTGTGGTGAAGCCGAAAAGGTAAGCGACAATTTCATTCTTCCAAAACCGAATAAGATTATGAATCTGATGCAGGGGAGGCACCCCCAAAGAAGAAGCCTGGTGTCGGGCGGGGCTAGGACGAAGATAAGTCCGTTCGAGGGCGTTCCAAAACGCTCTCAGAGCGTTTCCCAAAACGCTCTGAGAAGGCCGCGGCGCCCGAGACATCCTCCAGAGCCGCCGGACCCCAGAGATTCTCGATGTTCTCCTCGTCCGATGTTCTCCCCGTCCTGGCCCCGTTTTTCTGGTGGGGCAGGCGCTGGCGGACGGCCACCTCCGCGCCGACGCGCCCGCCTTCTGGCCCGAGCGCTGCGCGGGCGGCGTGCCGGAGGACGCCGGGGGCTCGGAGCCCTCTCTCCCCCGGAGACCGCGGGCCTCCGTGCAGTTCGGGAGCCGGGGGACGGGGGTCAGTGCAAACGGGGGGTCCCAGTGGAGGCAATCGGACGGGGCCAGGGCGAGGACAAATCCGTTCCAGAGCTTTTCAGAACGCTCTCGGAGCGTTCTGGAACGCTCTGAGGAGGCAGCGGCGCCCGAGGCATCCTCCAGAGCCGCCAGGTCTCAGAGAATGTCGATTTATCCTCGTCCTCGTCTTGGCTTCGTCTTTGGAAAGGGTACCCATACCGCTACCCTTCCCTCGCTTTCCCGGGTCCTAAGGTTTGTCACCACTTTCGTGTTCTCGGGGCCCTCCACGGGCCCCAGGACTGTCAGAAAACGACTCAGGATTATGATCTCGTCCTGGGGGGAGGCACCAGGTTCCAGGACCTGTTTCCCTCAGGACCCGTTTCCCTTATGCCAAGGAAGTAAATGCACAAGGGGGTCAACCAGAGCGCCAGATCTTGCAGGATCTGGCAGGGCCAGGGATGCATTGACCCGGGCTTGCGCGCCGGATATTGCAGGATCCTTCGGGATCTTACAGGGACCTTGCAAAGCCTGACTGGCCCAGGTTTGCACTGACCCGGGTCAGCGCGTCCCCGAGCAGTCATAGGGGGCTGTTCTACAGCCAAGGCGCAACAAAAAGTATTGTTTTGGGATCGGAAGGGGCTCGTTGTTCCATAGGTGCTTCCGTGGTCGTTCCTCTAGCCCTCCTTGCGCACGCAGGCGCTTTCGGAGCCAAAATGGGCTTTCGTTCCTGATTCATCGTTCCTTATTTCAGCAGCCCGACTGTGCGCCTCCCAGATGGGGTCCGAGTCGATGGGGTCGCAACGGCAATGCGGCTCGATGTGGAGCCCGATTCTCTCCGCGCCGACGTCGCCGATGCGGTGCAATTCTCCAACCGCATCTTCTAGGACCCCATCAAGGAGGCCTCTAGTCACAGGGGGTCGTCTGGGGATCGCTCCTCAGGGGAGGAGGAGGACCCTGACGTCTTCGCGCCCGCGCCCACCAATCGTACCGTGCGCGTGTCCTCGACACGAGAACTTGGGAACGCCGCTGGAGCGCCAACGAGACCAGCTGCTGAGCCTCGTCCAGGGCTGCAAGAAGACAAGCAGAGCGCAGGGAGCGCCATGGAGAGAGCTCGGCGGATCTCGCCGGCAAGCGCCGTGCCTGAAGGGCGCCGCGAGCGAGGCCATGCCGCGACCTTCGCGAAGAAAGCACGGCGGGATGCTTTCTGTCAGGGGGCCCTTTCCAGGCCCTGAGACAGTCAAGGCACGACCCAGGGTGAATTGCGTTGCATCTTCGGTGACCTCGCCTGTCCCAAGGGGCCCCCTGCGGGGATGCGCTGGCCCAGGGCGGAGCCCGAGGAGGAGCAGATGGCCGCGGGGGAGGGCGAGGGAAGAGGGCGAGGAGGCTCCGAGGGGAAGGGGGAGGAGAGGGAGGGGGAGGTCGAGGACAAGGGGGGCCAAGGGGGAGGAGGAGGAGGAGGAGGAAGAGGAGGAGGAGGAGGAGGAGGAGGAGGAGGAGGAGGAGGAGGAGGGGGAGGAGGAGACGAGGAGACGAGGAGGAAGGAGGACCAGGGATGCGGACGGCGAGGGGGAGGAGGAGGAGGAGGAGGAGGAGGAGGAGGAGGAGGAGGAGGACTTGGGCGAGGACGATGAGCGAGGAAGACGAGGACGAGGCGGGGGAGGAGAAGCGGCTCGCTGCCGCCGCTCCCGCCAGGAGGTGGACGACGTGCCGACCAAGCGGGGTTGGTGGCTCTGGCGCGCCAGGGGACGGCTCGACCAAAACGTCTTGTTGTTGCGATTTCGAGGACCGTTTTCGTTCCGATGTCGTTTTGCAGCAAAGGCGGGGCGAAGACTAAACCAGGGAAAACGAAAGCATAACGACAACGGAAGACACAATTTAGGCCGAGCCTAGCCATGTCCTCCCTCCCTATCCCACCCCCTGTGGTCTTGGAACCGAGCACGAGGAGGTCCGCAAAAACAATTAATTACCACAAATCCCGCTAGATCGTCCTGGTTGCATGCTCTCGGGGCTCAAGAGACGGGTGTCAACCCCAACGGGGGTCAGACAGAGCGCCGGATTTTTCAGGATCCTGCAGGGCCAGGGGTACATTGACCCGGGCTTGAGTGCAGGATCCTGTAGGATCCTGCGAGATCTTGCAGGGTCTAGACCGTTCAGGCGTGTGCCCAGTGAGGCTCAGTCTTTGGTTTCGCATTCGCCTGGCCGCGCTGGTCTGCAGAGCCTGACTGACCCGGGTCTGGATTGCCCCGGGTCCATAGACCTCCCGATGCTCCTCGAGCTGAAGGCTCTCTTCCGCTGCGGCAGCCGCGCCCCCAGCGTGACCGACTGCGAGATCCGCCGTCGGACGCACCGCGCTGCCGCGGGCTGCCTCGGCGCGCAGTCGCGCGCTGACTGCAGGACTTGATCTGATGATGCACGCGCCGCGCACCGAAGGTTACAGTGGAGACCCACGCCAAGAAGCACGCTGCTTGCCTCCAGGATGCCCTGGGTTTCGAGGGTTTTGCGATGGAAAGCGCGACGTTCCCACACCCAAAATCAATAGACCCCCTGGGGTCTCAGGGTCAGGTTTTTTGCAGAAGGTTTCTTGTGGATTGGTTTCTTCACTGTATGATGATGCGCGCGCCGCGCACCGAAGGTTGCTCTTGCCCAGGGCCGCTCTTGCGTGTAGCCGACTGGTGGGGCCGCTCAACGACCATGGAGCCAGCACCACCAGGGCCCCATCTTTCGACAGCTCGCCATCGACCCAGTCGCTGCCGAAAACGGGCACATCCACGAGCGCCAGGCTTTGGAGCGGTGGCTTCTGTCCAAGAAGATCTCCCTCATCCCCCCGTCTCCTCATCGTCACTCTTCCTCATCATTCCTCATGTCCTCGTGTCTCGTCCACGCCCTCACCCCCCTCCTCCTCATCCTCCTCCTCTTCCTCTTCCTCCTCGTCTTTCTCCCCCCCCCACCTCATCCCCAAGAGGAGGAGGGAGGAGGGAGTACAGAGGTCTTGGGTACGCCAGGGGAAGACGCACAACGCAAGCGCAAATACAGCCTGGGCTCGGGAGCACGGACCATGTTGATTTCGAAAGTGATTCGGGTGGGGCATGTTGGTTATTGTAATTTGTTGGGTTGTTTTTCTGGTGTTCCGAAGCCGGGCCCGAACAGCGTCGGCGTCTCCTATTGCTCGAAGGTTCTCTGGGGCAAGAGGTCGAACGCACGCTTGTCCGTGTCCCTCCTTCTCACGAGGAGAAGGGGGCGCGCAACGGCGAGGAGATGGGCCAAACGTGTTCACAGTAGGTTGGCCACACGGAGAACCAGTGCGTTCCATAAGGTTCTCGGAAAAGACCGGTGCCTCCTCCATCTCCTCCTCCTCCTCCTCCTCCTCCTCCTCCTCCTCCTCCTCCTCCTCCTCCTCCTCCTCCTCCTCCTTATCTCCGTTTCTCGGATATACACTACCAGTGGCGGGTTTTGTTTCAGTCCCAGGACTCGTCTGAGGGTCGGGGACGACGCTGCTGTGGTGTGGTGTATATTTTTGTTCCCGATGTTCCGGGGAAACAACGACAAATGTATACACCAGGGTCCCGTATACACCAGGATCCGCTCTCCAGTGCAAATTTCAATGCCGGGCCGGAACATGCGTCGGTGTATAGAGTTCGATTCCCTAGTTTCCCTCCCAATCCAAATCCACGTGTCCCCCTACCTATCATCTTCTTTCTTTTTCCTCCCATTCCCCATTTTCCCCTTTTGTCCTCCCCACTTCAATCCTCACGTTTCTCCCCCATCCTTTTTCTCATCCCAGTCTCCCCCCTGTCCCTCCCACCCCCCTTCCTCCTCCTCCTCCTTCACCTTTGTCCTCCCCCGTTCCTCTCTACTCTTTTTTGTCGTTCCCTATACCATCCTCCCCCTCTGCCCTCTCCCTCCTTCTGCTGCTGTCGATCCCCCCCGTTCTCTCCCAATTATTTCTCTTCCACTTTTGCAGCCCCTCCGTCCCCCTCATCACGCCCTGATCTCAAAGCAGGAAAAGCCACCCCCATCCTCCGAGCTAGCGTTTACTGAACAACCGTGGGCGTTTAGAAAATAAACCTGTCCTGCCGATTCCTTCTCTTGGCGCGTTCATTCAAAGGTTTCGCTCATATAGGGGTGCTTCTCATGAGGGTGCTCCCTCTGCACTCCAGAAGCCGCCAAAGCCGCCGCCGCTGTCTGCGTCGTCCGCGTCGTCGCCGCCGCCGCCGTCCTCGCCGACGTCTCCTCAAAGTCCGCTCCACAGCGGCCCCGGGACCCCTCGAGGGCTCCGTCCTGGCCCGCTCCCCGCCCCGCGCCCCGCCGTGGCGACGCGCACCTCCGGCAGCGCTCCCGCCCACAGGCCACCCCCGAGGCGAGGACGCCGCCGCCGCCGCCGCCGCCGACGCCGTCGCCGCCGCCGATCGGGGCCCCCAAACGGCGCGGTCCGTGCGCCGTGCGGTGAGTCAGTGGGGGCGCGGGGTGACCGCACGGTTGCGGGACGCGGGTCGTCGACGACGACCCGCGTCCCGAAAGACCTCCTCGGACGACGTCCGAGGAGGTCTCTCGGGCGACTGGGGCCTCCAGCGCCCCACAACGCTGCGGCGAGGCCTCCGGGGCATCCGAGGTTCTAACAATTCGTTTGGGCTGCTAATTGCGCAGAGCGAAGCTTTGCATTACAGAAGTTACCTAACAAATTCTTAGTTCACTCTGTCGAAAAATTCTTCCGAGCGAAGACAGGGACCGACTTCGCGTTGGCAGTCCAAGAATGCAATTGTCCAGTTTTACAGAACATGCCATCAGAAGCTACCACACGCTCTGCCACCGCACCGCTGCGGGACCTCCAAGACGGCCTCGGGGCCCTTCCTCCCGAGAGGTGCGGCGACGAGCCGGGCACGCCGCGCGCGGGAGGCGCCCCGCGCTGCCGCTCGGGGTTCCCGCGCCGGGCGGGCGTCGACGTCGTCGGCGTTGTAGTCGTCGTTGTCGTCGGCGGCCCTGCAGCCAGACGGGTCCTGGAGGTGTTGTCTGGAGGAACGAAGGCCCAGACATGCTCGTGTCGAGACAGGAGCACGACGGAACAATTTTCCCGCTTTCAGTTTCCGGAGATCGTCGCTGGGCATTCGGGATGAAACACATGTCTTGGAAAAAAGGTCTGGATTTTAAGGGACCGCGTAATTATTGGAACCAGCAAGACACTGCATGTCAGGGGATATATTGCGGGAAGCATGGGGACGAAGACCAGTAGTGGTTTTTATTCGTTTTGAATTGGACTCGTTGTCGGCGTCTCCTCTCACGTTTTTCATTCGAGACAGAACAGGCGCCTGCCCACTAGCGGCCGACGTCGGTTTTCGACAACAGTTGCTATTGGGCATCGTGCCCATTTTTCCCGTAGGTACCCATTTCAGGCGTGCCAGCGTTGCGCCGTGTTCGGGCTCACAGGCCCCCCCCTCAAGGTCATTCTTCGCTGCGTCGGATCTCGAGGTAAGGCTTCGAGGTTCGAGACCTTCGGACGTTCCCGTCGGCTTTCGGCGGTTCTCCAGCCTCGGGGTGCCTTCGAGCAGCTGCGCATCGCCGAGATCGTTCCGGGGGGGTCCAGATCGTCCCGAACGGCCGCCAGGGAACGACAGCGGGGGGTTGTCGGGCGGGGCTGGGACGAGGGTAAGTCCGTTCCAGAGCGTTCCGGAGCGCTCTCAGATAGTTCTGGAACGCTCTGAGAAGGCCGCCGGATCTCAGAGAAATTCGATGCATCCTCACCGGAATGTATCGGGCGGGTGGTAATTTGGGGTGGGTGACCTGCCCGCAAGGGGCCCCTTTTGGGCACCAGCTGGCTCCAAAGGAGCCTTAAAGGGCCCCTTTAGGGCCATTTCCCTCACCCCCCGTTGGGGTCACCCCCCCATCACTCGGACCGAACGAAAGGCGGGGATAGGGAAAGGGAGGGTTACGAAATCTGCTGCATGCAGCTAGTTTCGGCCTCACCGAGGGGCACATTCCTCGATACATAGCCGCCTCCGGCGCCGGGAGGCGCCGGGAAAATCGGCTACGTGAGCTGATTCTCAAACCCCCCCTTTGCTATCCCCCCTTTCGCCCGACCCGATCCTCGCCCTGGACTCGTCCTGGGGTTGGCTCGGGAGGGGCCGCGTGGGCCTGCAAGCGCCCATGGATCGCCGAGGGGGGGGCCCGACCGCCGCCCCCCCCGCCCAGGAGAGAGCGTGCGGGGGCTCGCGGCCAGGGGGCCTTCTCGCCGATCCCTCGGCGGCGCAGCAAAAGGATGCCAGCTCAGTGTGCTTCCCCGCCACAGCAACGTACAGTGCCGTTTTTGATACGGTCGGACGGAGGTATAAGATCGAGGTCGGTTCGAGGAGGGTACCTTAATGTTCTTCGTGTTGGTTGGATGTTCTTGTGCACCCTGAGGAGGGTACCCGTGGATGTTCTGTGCGTTTTGGCCGACGGAGGGTCTCGTGTTCTTGAGGGATGTTCTTCTGGCCTAGTTCCGATTGTACATGGGATTATTGAGATATTGGATTTCAATACATGGTTAATGAATGAAAACATTGATGCATGGACTCATCGTTGTTTGTAATGCTAGATCCCTGCATTTTTAATACATTATCCGCGCGCGGAGCATATATAAAAAAACGGCACTGTACGCAGACACCCTGTGATGGATGGCTCCTGAGCCTCAAAGGGAGGGTGGCGGTGCGTAAATTACCACCGGGAGCCAGCGACGTTGTACACCGCCGCCCTCCCTGAAGGCACGTGCAAAGTGCGTCGGAGGGTGTCTGTGCATGCATTTTCGTGGCGTTGTTTCCCCCCCCCCCTGTGCCAGCCCCCCTCCTGCAGGCCCCCGAGAGGCCCCAGGACGCCCCCCTGGAGGCCCCGAGGAGACCTCCAAGACGCCCCTAATCGGGCTCCGAGAGACCGCCAACGAGACCCCATCATATGTCCATGACGCTTCTGGCCCACAACTCAGGCACATCCCCTTGATCGACCCCAGACAGCCGTCCAGGCGACTCCGGGAGGTCCCGAATCGCCCCTCAGACGGTTTAAGGAGCCTCCGACGGCCCAGAGGAGCAAGCATGCACGTGTGTAATGATCGGGGGTCAACCTAAGCGGTGTTTGTTTGGCGATTTCGTATGCCGTTCTCGTTTCGACTTCTTTTTGCAGCAAAGGCGGATTGGAGACCAAACGAGCGGAAACGAAGACAAAGCGAAACACGAAAACCATTGTTCAGGTTGACCCTTGGTAATGATGTGTACTATTCTGGATGCGTGCATGCAACAAGCGAGAGACAGCACGTAGCCCGGGGGAAGGGGCCAGCCCTATGCAGCCGCATACGTATGCCGCGGGGCGCGGCCCTCTCCTGCTGCCCCAAGGGGGGCCCCGCGAGGCCCCCGGGGCTCCCCCGGAGAAGCCCCACGA